CAGGGAATGCTGGACGGAGATTGTGCGCATGTGGCGCACGCGGATGAGGCGTGCGTATGTAGGCGACCGTCCGGAACCGCCAGCAGCAGCAGATCGAGGGTGTCACACCACCAAGGGAATCAGCCCCTCCCCTAGTTCGTGACAAGATGGGTATGCGTCTGTTCATGTCTTAATCCTTGCGCTCAATTGTCAATACTTGTAACCATGTTTGTGTTTTCAATGCAGCCGCAGACGCACGGTGGCAAGGGAAATCAACGAGTACACCGCGTACTCCTCTCTCTCACAAGGGCAAGGCGACGGATCCGAACAACGTCTACAACCCGGAGGACGGGCCCGATGTGTACACCAACCCCACCGCCACGAGAAGGCCACCGAGTACACCGTCGCGGCTCGCCCGCCGCGCACACGGGGAGACGTTCAACCCCACCGCCGAGCCCTCGGACTGAGACCTCCCGCAGAGGTTGGGACCGAGAAGCAAAGACGGCCGCTACTACATGGCCCACAAGCGCCCTCGACCCGTCCCTGAGTTCCCACGCCGACCTGTGTTCGATCCACGCCCACGAGCTCCAGCGACATCTCCGTAGCGCCCCGGCGGCAGTCAGCGTCACAGGTAAGTGCCGTTTCGTTCGTCGTTCACTCGTTTCGCTTTTGTACATACAATCAACACCTGCGGATGTAATATTGCAGCCCAGATGGAGGCCAAGATGAGGAGAGGATTGCCACGTTGCACGCTTACAGATGATGGCGCAACAGATGGCTTACCAAAAAAAGCTCGCACAAAGACTACAACACTCGGATGCGTAACATGGCCGGCTTCTTCCGGTCCAGCAGACGCGTCGGGCGTCTACACCGCCTCCTCTTCCAATGTTTGCTCCACCGCCTCCTCCTCCGAGTTTTTTTTTGTGCTGTGCTCCCCCGTCGCTCGCTCCGGAGGGACCCCGGTGAGTATATTGACTCTTGCTTTAACTTGTGCGTCCATGCTGCGAGATACTAATGACATCACTTGGCGTTTAACTTGTGTGTACATACGGTCGGTGGTTCGAACTCGTCTCCGGAGGTCCCGCCATCGATGATGTCGTATCCACCACCGCACCCTATCCACCAGATCCACCTCCGCGTGGCCTCCTCCTCCGACAAGATTTCGTGGTCACGCGGGCGCGGAGGGGTGGCAAGACGCGCAGCGCCTCGATTTGGTCCAAGGGGTTTCGTGGGCAAACCCCAGGGGGCTCTGGGGCGGAGCGGACGACGAGAAGGGGACGGCGCTGACGAGCTAGGTATTTGTCGATTCTGTTATCATGTATCCACCGTATCGTCGAAGTTGTTGTCATGTATTTCTTTTCTTCGTTATGGACCTAGACTTGTTATGTTGAACTTCAGTGTGATGGACGCCGACTTGTGGTGTTCGACGTGGACTTCATGTGATGGTTGTAATGCACTTGTGTGGTTGTTATTGTGACATATATGTGAGATATATGTGATGTTGTGCGTTATTGTGATATATGTGGTGATGTTGGCGACAAATGTGATGAAATTATGATATAAATGGTGCTACCTGGGGTGCTTCGGTGAAATTGGATTATAATTTGTGATTTTGCAGGTTTTGATGCGAGAAAACAGAAAACAAAAGCAAAAAAAAAATTCCGCTTTTGCTTTGTTCTGATCGGCAAAGCCGGGTAAAAAACCCCAGACAGAGTCTTTGCCGATCAGATGGAGGGCGATCAAGAAGAGGTCAAACCTTTGCCGATCGCAACTCAAAGCGATCGGCAAAGAACATTTCAAAAAAATATTTTCTTTCTTTGCCAATCGCTGAGTTGGCGGCGGTCGGCAAACAATTTTGAAAAAAAAATTCTTTTTGCCGATCGCCGAGGAACCAAAGTTAGATCGGCAAAGGTCGCTGTCGTCGACGACGGCGGTATGCACGTGGCTATGCCGATCATTGCTGGCGTGGCGGTTGGCAAAGGCTTTGCCGACTATGTGCCACGTGGCAGTCGGCAAATCCGCCTTTGCCGACCCAGGCTTTGCCGACTGCTCTTTGCCGACTGCCACGTGGCTTTGCGGTCGGCAAATCCTTTGCCGACTGGGTTTATGCCTTTGCCGACCGGGGCAAGCAGTCGGCAAAGAGGCGTTTTCCTGTAGTGATAGGCCCTATATAAGATTCTGGAGCAAACATTCGTAACAGTACTGACATAAGTTACTCTGATCTGTGTTGATTTCATTGTGTTGATCTAATATCTTGCACCTGTGTTTTAGTTTGGTGAAGAATCATGTGTTTGTTCTCGATTCCTTGAAATGCACTACATACTGGCTGGCACCTGTCTGTAATAACTCACCATAGCAAGCACCGACCCACGACAGCTAGATTTCTCCTTGGAAAAATCTTCACACACGGTTATTAGATGCATGTATGGCATCTCCGTCCCCGAACCCCGAGTGCATGCCACCATGATTTTCTTTTCAGCAGCATCGATCTCTAGCATCCTCTCGTTCACTCAACCAAAATGAACCCGAACTACTTGTCAAATGAGATCTCTCTCTTTTGGAATCCTATCTAGCTACTAGCTAGTACTAGTACTGCACATTAGGTTCTCGATCTTGATCACATGCACACACCTTATCGTCGATCCTGCTTGTGTTTGCTAGAACCATCTCAAGTTAGCATCTACAAATATCTCACCTAAACTCACCTAAACTCGCTGGAACCATCTCAAGTTAGCATCTACAAATAAAAAGCGAGCGAGCCAAATCGTATCATCGCTCTCGTTGTTAGGCCCTTAATTTTGAATCGTTGCACGCACGCACGCTTCACGCTTGCAACTCCTGGTTTGCGCGAGCCTCGAAGCCCGGGAAGACGAATTGTTAACAACGTGTTTAGCTAGGCCGGCAGAGATCGAGCACTTTATTCCTAAAAAAACAATGCCGCTGCTGTGATCGCGCGTGTAGCGCTGCTCTGCTAGTGATGACCAGCAATGCATGCAGTGCTAGCTAGAAAATCAATCAAGCGTGCATGCAGCACGCTGGAGTTTGCTTAAACCCTTATAGGCTTGGAATCTTGGAAACCTCACGCAGCGACAGGCACAAAAGTTGCACGCTCGAACATTAGTATAGTGCAGCGCGTACTTACTGCCAGAAAACCAAACTGGTGGCTACCTATAGCTAGCTTCATTCGGCGATTCTTTGACCGGCCTGATCTGACGACGACGTGCGTGCTCGCTCTTCACAAAATAAAGGTGTACGTGTGTGTGAGTACGAGCATGAACTAGCGAGCGAGCGAGAGCATGCTTATGAGTACGCATGATGTGATGCGCGTGATGAATGACTTGATCTGAAACGATGATCCACCCAACTGCGAGTCTCTGCGATCCATGAATCTACCTCTTTTTCCTGCAGCACCTGTCGCGCCGGCCCTCGTCCGGACCGTGCAGTGTCACCCAATGGCGCAATTCGCACGTGTTGGATGTATTGTAAAGCACCGGCGACCTGCATGGGAAACCAAAAAGAAGACGAACAGGGCCATAGCAGCGGCCGGCCGGCCGGCAGGCAGGCGGGTAGCACTGCACTGGCGCTGCTTTTCTCCCTGCTCTTTGGCGCCCCTTGTTTTGGGCTCCGACGGCTGGCCGGCCGCCGGCCAATCAGGTGACGGGAAACTACCGGTGAGCAAGCGCCCGCCGATGATCCCGAGAAAGGCGCCACGCCTTTCGTCGAGTGAGATGCCTGCGTGCTTGCATTGGACCCTTTATTTGCTCCTTTGGTCCGTCTCACTTAGTGCTGCTCGAGCTAGTGTTTCCCTGTTGCTAGTTCAGAAGTGGCAAACGGCACCTATTCGTTGCAGGAGAAGAGAGTAACAACAGAATATCCAATTTGCAGCTTTTAATTTGTCGTGTGAAGTTGTTTGAGGTTGGAGACTACTGGGAATAAAGCGCCAAAGGCTATATATGAGATAAAAAGGATTTGCGCTTTATTAGTTGCCAAAGAAAACTATCACATTCTTATTTGCAAATTATTTTCAGGGCAATCTACTAGCTACACGGCTAGACATACTTTTGGAACATGATAGGTCAATTTTGAAGTGGGCTTGTCGAACTCCGGAGACCGTAGCCACGGAGATCTTTTGAAGAGACCTACGCTTAAATAGTCGCCCCTTAATTTGATTTCGATTTTAGAGAGTGTTTCTTATCTAACAACCAGAGGTTGAAGCTATAGTAATGAATTAGTTACGTGTAAAACTCAATAATGCAGAGGCTGAAGTAAAAATCCATTTCTTTTTCTAAAAACTACCTGCTCAACTTGGGTGACGGAACGAACACTTTTTGTTTCTCTGTTTCTGCCACAACTTGGCGGTGCATGGTTTGGGGAACTTGAGCTTTCTGCTTTCAATGGAGCTATCGAAGTGGAGCCTCTGATCTCCTGAATGCTAAAAAGAAGAGAGAGAAAAAAAGTATTCAGTATTGAGCAAGCATGAACACTGCAAGCTGACACGGCGCCGGTGATGAGGAGCCGCCCAAAACGTCCGGTACGGAGGCCCGTCGGAACAAGTTTTATCGCGCGCACATATCGGCCCAACGAGCTTGCCGTGGATGTGCCGCGCAGCCCGCCCAGGCAGACACATAATCCCCCACTCTTCGGCCCACCAGACAGCAGCGACCGTGCCATCGGCCTCAAGGCTCTCAGCGCTGTAGTCCCACGCTTGACGCTCCGACCGGTGGATGCCCCCGCCTGCGAGCCCTCGCGGCAAGCCGTCAACCAAGGTGACGGGACGGGAAAACATTTTGCATAGAGTTCACCATTAGGCGTCCGAAATAGCGATCATATTTGTAGTCGAGAAAGGCGCACACATGATATTATAGTCTGCCTTTGGCAAACGTAGCGAGCATACAGAACATCTCAGGCACATTTCGCGGTGCCAGCTCCCAGTCGCAAACACCCGTATGTTCATGTACAAACACGCGACACGCCACTATGTACAGTTGTACACACTGACACCACAGACGCGCCTTGCAACTTCATAGACAGGAGTCGAAGTAGTCGTACCATTCGATCAGGCTGCCATACGTCCGGTCAGCGACCCCTACAAACAGGGCCTCCGTGTCCGGGCTAAATGACATGCCTGCGATCTCTCCAAAGATGTCGATCTCCTGCTCCCTCGAGTAATCGGCCTGCGAGTCGTACACGTGGACGAAGTCCGCCGCCTCCGACATCGCCAGGAACCGGCCGTCCGACGAGAACTTGAGGCCCCTCACCGCGCCGATTCTCCCCCTCAGCACCGCGAAAGACTGCGAGAGGTTGCGCACGTCCCACAGCCGGCAGGTGGTGTCCTGGTTCCCAGTGGCGAGGACGCGGCCGTCAGGGTGCCAGGCGGATGCGAACGAGTAGTCTAGGTGCCCCCGGAGGTTTGCGATTTCCTGCAAACGTAGCAACCACGTGAGACAAAAAGATTGTCTGATTCTGTTTACCAAGGCATTTTAATCGGAATTCTAAAACGATCATCATATCAGGAGACACGCACCTTGCCAGACTGAGCATCAGCTACCAAACACTCGGAGCTATCGCCAAGAACAGCAACAAGTCTGCCATCAGGACTCGCTGACGTATCCTGCAACAGACCCAAAACTACAACCATCATAATAGAACAAGATTTGAGTTATGAACTGCCTGAGGATGACATGAATATCAACTCACATTGACCGAGCATGGGAATTTCAAGTGACTAAGTAGCTTGAACCTTTCAGTATCAAAAACTCTGACAGCGCAGTCATTGTTGGCAGCCAGTACTCGTGTAGAGCCACTGCATCACACAATGAAAAGATAGTTAATTCTGTAGTACTTACAAATTCAAAATTGAATACAAAACACAGAATACCAAGCAACTGTACTTACTTAGGAGACTCGTACACATCTACAGCATTTGTGATGCTATCCTTATCCTCGGCAAGATTTGTACAGAAAGCCACTCCAGGTTGATGGACGTACTGTTCAAATACAAATCCAAGAGCTAGCATACAAACAATGACAGAAATATGTGCACATCTTGGAAGCCTGTCATACCTTGCAAATCAGTTCACCCCGGAAACCACCAGCTACCAAAAGATTGTCTTTTATGGCCATTGTGCTTATCTGCATTTTGAACAGTGCTGAGCCCCACGGACCGTCTGTGTGAAGTGAGGACTAGATCAAAAAGTTGGATTTACAAAAGATAACACAAAAGATCATATGAAATATTGTATATACAGACCTTTGGAAATACTCGATTTGCCACGTTGAGCACTTCTTCCCCTCTTTGAAGAAGAGAAGACCAGTGCATAACTGAATAGTTCTGCGTCGTGTAGACATCATGCTTGGATGTGGCCCAAATGAGGTCCCTCAGCTGCAGATATGCAGTATGCGGTTAGCGCCTTGGAATGCAGAAAACTAAGAAGTGTATCTGATAAGTGATAAGTGATGCTTTAGCACAAAAGACATGCCGATGGGTAGGTTTTTGCCTAGGGACAAAAATGGAGACAAATAGTTCTTTGTAGTAATCGATAGGCTACATGTAGTATGTTGGCCCACAGTTAGCTTCCCGATCACCGAGATGGCCTCCAGACCACTCTGTTAGTCTCACAGGATCACCGGCTCACGACAGTGAACCACTCCAGCCGATCTTGCCGAGCACTAGCTCAGGCGAGTGGAGCACTTGACGGTCTCGTCGAACACGCGCTAGTGTTGCCGAGCACCCACTAGCCGTGTAGACCACGTACCGGCGTTGTCTGTACCCACACACTACGGACGAGCTTAGAAGAAGAAGGGAGAACAGAGCAAGCACGCACAATACAAGACAGCAGCGTTGGCCGATGCCCTGTCTGTGTGATGGCAAATATGAGCTCTCTTTACTGAGTTGCCATATATGTCTATTTATACAACTATAACTATCTAGTCCATGTGCAGCGCCTATGCTGGCACAGTAACTAGATAACCTGATGGGGCTGACTCTGCGCCGGCCACTGCCTGTTCCTATAGTGCTGCAGGTGAGCCGTGCGGCGTCTGCAGCGCCTACTGTATCACAGCAGGGGGCAAAGTCGGCGCCGCCTTCCCTTGCTGTGTTCACACACAGCAGGCGGCTAAGTCGGCACCGCCTTCCTCTGCTGTATTCACAGAAGGTGGCAGTAGATTAGCTAATAATCTTCCTCTAATCCTACTGCTAACCCTTGTACCCCCTCCATGCCGATCATCTCCTTCAGCTCCGTGAGTCGAAGTCGTCCGAGCGGCTTGGTGAGGACGTCTGCGAGCTGCCGAGCAGTTTCGACGAACTCGATGACGATTTGCCCTCCATCAACACAGTCCCTGAGGAAATGGAACTTTACGTCGATGTGTTTACTCCGGTCGTGCAGAACCGGATTCTTCGCGAGGGCGATGGCGGGCTGGTTGTCCACCATCAGTGTTGGTGGGTGAGCTTCCACACCGGTCAGCTCGCCCAGCAGCCGGCATAGCCACACAACTTGGCACGCCGCTGTGGCCGTCGCTACGTACTCTTCCTCGCACGTAGATAGCGCCACCATCTTCTGTTTTAGTGACAGCCATGAAATTAGGGCTGACCCGAGGAAGACGAGCACGCCAGAGGTGCTCCGTCGTCCGTCGATGTCCCCCGCCATGTCTGCATCGCTGAAGACCGTGAGCTGCAGCCTACTCCCGCCGGTCTTTGAGAAGATGATTCCATGATTCACCGTCCCCTTGACATAGCATAGTAGCCGCTTCACCGTAGCCCAATGATCCTCTCTGGGATCCTCCATGAAGCGACTGACGTAGCCCACGGCGAACGCAATGTCTGGCCTCGTGTGGACTAGGTAGCGCAGACCGCCGACGATGCTCCGGTAGAGTGTTGCATCCACCTTCGCCGCAGTGCTGGCCTTCGTCAGCTTCAGCCGCTCCTCCATCGGAGTCATGCATGGCTTGCACTCCACCATGCCGCTCCTCTTCAACAGCTTGGAGGCATACGCGCTTTGCCCGAGCGTGAGTTCCTCCTTCCCCTGTCTCACCTCGATGCCGAGGTAGTAGGAGAGAGCGCCGAGATCGCTCATTCAGAAACGAGCTGCCATATCTCGCTTGAAGCTGTTGATATCCTCCGTGCGCGCGCCGGTGACGATTAAGTCATCCACATACACGCCGACCACGAGCTCTTCCTTCCCCCGTCGTCGCGTGTAGAGCGCGTGCTCGGTTACGCACCTTTGAAACCCAAGTTCGCCCAGCGTGGCGTCAAGCTTGGCGTTCCATGCTCGAGGGGCTTGCCGCAGCCCGTAGAGCGCTTTGCGCAGTCGGAGCACCCTGTGCTCCTCTCCCTTGACAGTGAACCCTGAAGGTTGCCTGACAAAGACCATTTCTGCCAGCTCGCCGTTGAGGAAGGCCGATTTAACGTCCAAAGTGATGGACGCGCCAGTCCTTTGCTGCAGCCAAAGCAAGTAGCAAATGGACCGACTCCATGCGCATTACTGGCGCAAAGACCTCCTCGAAGTCGATGCCCTCGCGCTGGACAAAGCCTCGAGCGACTAGGCATGCCTTGTGCTTGACAATGGCGCAGAGCTCGTCCCTTTTGACTTTGTACACCCACTTTAGGCTGATCGGACAACATCCTGGAGGTGGATCGACGAGTTGCCAAGTCTCGTTTTCCTCGATCGCCTTTACAAGGGTTAGCAGTAGGATTAGGGGAAGATTGTTAGCTAATCTACTGCCACCTTGTGTGAACACAGCAAGGGAAGGCGGCGCAGACTTAGCCGCCTGCTGTGTGTGAACACGACAAGGGAAGGCGGCGCCGACTTTGCCCCCTGCTGTGATACAGTAGGTGCTGCAGGTGCAGGCGCCGCACGGCTCACCTGCAGCACTGTAGAAACAGGCAGTGGCCGGCGTAGAGTCAGCCCTGTTAGATTATCTAGTTACTGTGCCAGCATGGGCGCTGCACATGGACTAGATAGTTAGAGTTGTATAAATAGACATGTATGGCAACTCAGTAAAGAGAGCTCAGATTTGCCATCACACAGACAGGGCCTCGGCCAACACTGTTGTCTTGTATTGTACGTGCTTGCTCTGTTCTCCTTTCTTCTTCTATGCTCATCTGTAGTGTGTGGGTACGGACAACGCCGGTACGTGGTCTGCACGGCTAGTGGGTGCTCGGCAACACTAGCGCGTGCTCAGCGAGACCGTCAAGTGCTCCACTCGCCTGAGCTGGTGCTCGGCAAGATCGGCTGGAGTGGTTCACTGTCGTGAGCCGGTGATCCTGTGAGACCAACGGAGTGGTCTGGAGGCCATCTCGGTGGTCGGGAGGCTAACTGTGGGCCAACAAGCCGCGACTGGAGGAGGCTGCCTTCCTAGAGTTTCACCGAGCAGCCCACTCCTCTTCCGTCAGTAGGAGTTTCCCACTGTCCTTTGTTGTTGTCGCCTGCCCCAGGCGCTCATCCACCGCCCACAGATGGCCTGCCACATCCTCAATGGTGAGGGTGGACAAGTCCAGCATCGTCTCTATGGAGAGAGCGATCTGGATGTACTTTGCCGGCACGGAGTGGAGGAACTTGGAGACTGCCTCCTCTTCGTCGATGGTGACGCCATGGCTCTTCAGCTTGCTGATGAGCATCTACAGGTGAAGGGAAAAGTCCTCCACTGTTTCACCATCCTTGAACTTGAGGTTTGCGTACTCCTGCTTCAGAAGCTGGGCCGTCGCCTTCTTTGCACGGTCGGAACCGACGCGCATCACCGCAATGGCCTCCCACGCCTCCTTAGCTGAGCCTTTCGTCCCCAATGGTTCCCTGTACTCCGCCGGTACAGCAGCGAGGATAGCCTCCAACGCTGCCATGTCGTCTTCTTCCACGTTGGTGCCCTTGTCAACAGCATTCCAGAGCCGTCGGGCTCTGAGCTTGACCTTCATGGTCACCGACCACTCTCCATAGTTAGTGCGAGTCAGCGTCGGCCAAGTGGTGCCGCTGACCTCCCGCACCGTGCGAACAACTACATCCGGTAGTGGCTGGGCAGCCACGACAGTGCCACTGTCGTCGCCTAACTCCAAACCGCCTGTCATCGCCATCGGTTAGAATGACGACGACGCTTGTATCTGATACCACTTGTTGGCCCACAGTTAGCCTCTCGACCACCGAGATGGCCTCCAGACCACTCTGTTGGTCTCACAAGATCACCGGCTCACGACAGTGAACCACTCCAGCCGATCTTACCGAGCACCGGCTCAGGCGAGTGGAGCACTTGACGGTCTCGCTGAGCACGCGCTAGTGTTGCCGAGCACCCACTAGCCGTGCAGACCACGTACCGGCGTTGTCTGTACCCACACACTACAGACGAGCTTAGAAGAAGAAGGGAGAACAGAGCAAGCACGCACAATACAAGACAACAGCGTTGGCCGAGGCCCTGTCTGTGTGATGGCAAATATGAGCTCTCTTTACTGAGTCGCCATACATGTCTATTTATACAACTCTAACTATCTAGTCCATGTGCAGCGCCTATGTTTGCACAAAGAACTAGATAACCTAATGAGGTCGACTCTGCTACCGCCTTCGCTTGTTTCATGACAAAGTTGCAGGTGAGCGCGGCGGCACTGCACTGCAGCGCCTACTATATCACAGCAGGGGGCAAAGTCGGCGCCGCCTTCCCTTGCTGTGTTCACACACAGCAGGCGGCTAAGTCGGCGCCGCCTTCCTCTGCTGTGTTCACACAAGGTGGCAGTAGATTAGCTAACATAGTACTCTAATAAAAACAGGCCACCTATTGTCAAACTAGGGGTTTAACAAGATTTGTGAAATTTATCGCTTGACAAAGGCACACTGAAAGAGAATGATGAATAACAACACAATAATGAAAAGAAAACAAATTCTCCATGGCAAAGAACAAGCAACAAATCAGAACATTGCAGACAATGTTCTGCCTTTCCACCTGCCTGAGGGAGTCTGCTTTTATGGAAGCTCAAAATTCACGCAAGCCAAAGGGCCACTACATAACAAACCATACACTCACCTAAACCTCCTGCAACTTATTCTCGTTTGATCAGCTCTAGTCTAGATGTTCAGTTATATGGTTAGTAGTAGCATCATTTGACAATGGCTAGGTACATCAGAAAGAAAAATGGTGCTGCTGTT